CTATCTCGCACCAATTTTGTTCATAAAGAACCATGACTGATGAAAAATGGTTCAAAAGATTTAAAATGGTTCTGTCTCACACCTTTTGTTTTTATAAAGAATCGTGACTGATAAAAAATGGTTCCAGAGATTTAAAAAGAGTTCTATGCTGAACCACTTTTTTCTATGAGGTATCACGACTAAAATAAAATGGTTCCAGCAAATCAGAAGAGTTCTACATCGCACTATTTTCCTTATTACAGAATCATGACTGACTTTAAATAGTTCAAGGGATTTATAAGAGTTCTATCTCGTATCGTTTCTTCTCCATAAAGAACTGTGGTTGATAGAAAATGCTTTTAGCAATTTAAAAGGGTTCTATACTGCACCATTTTCTTTATGCTCTCCTCCTTTTAGAAACATAGTTCTAGCACAAGTCGCCTGTATTGGATTGGAAATAAAAGAGGCCAAACTGATTCTTTGAACTTTATCAAGCGTTACTATACGTTTGCAATAGCGTTCGAACCCAGGACACCTCATTAAATGTCACAAAATCTTATATGTCTCATCTGAAAGCTCTTCCAAATTTCACATTAGAAGAAGCTTTCTAGTGAATGTCTCCAAAGTATTATAGACAGAAAGTTTCCTATTAAATTATTTTCTTTCAGACTTTCTATAATAGAGATCGCTGTTCACTGATCAAAAACACGATTAATCTGAATCGTCCCTATTTTTATCGTTCTACCATTCATCTTGCTATTACGTTCGCATACTTCATTAGTGGATTTACATTATATATTTTGCCAGACGCAGCTACATTTGAGAGCAATATGAAAAACATCGGTTATATTGCCAATAGAATTTGTTCACTAAAATTTTGAGATGCCTACATTGTCCCAGCAGAAACAGAGATTCTGACGACTGATAGCTACCTCTATTTGAATTTCATAAATCTCTACGATGATGTCTTCGCTACCGCTTTTAGGACGTTGATTGTTTGAGCAAATTAAGCTAAAAGTTTGCTTACTCTTTTCATTAGATAGAATGTTTCTTCAGTAGACAAATTCAAACTATGAAAATATCTTTCTTTTCGGTTCACCGACGTTTC